TTTAAAATTAGCTTATTAAAATTTTACTTGTATTAATTTATATTTTGTATGTTTGTTTTTCTTTTATTTATTTATAAAATCATACATGTATGCAAAAACCTCTTTAGTCACTAACTAATGTTGTTTATGCAATGAACATTTTCTACGCGTTATTATTTGAAGAGGAAGGAATTTATTGACTTACGTGGCTTACATCCAGAATACGCATTTATCTCAACGTTTGTGTCAAATTTTAGTGCATGAAATTTGACAAACACGTGTTAAGCTGAATTTTACAGAGCATAAATTTCGGATACAATTATCCGCAGTACAATACTACACAGAAGTTAGCTCAAATATAATTAAATAGAATCGCCAAGGGTACTGTTTTGTTACCAAACTCGCGATGACCGCAATTCTGTTGAGTCCCCCTAATATATTTTCTCCTTAAAGCCTTTGGAGCCACAACTGTGTAAATATGTTTTTGTGTTAATACAATACTTGTACGTAGTTTCGTATTTATATGTATAAATATTTTATTTGATATGATTACAAATGATCGACTTTCGAATTTTGTCCTATACTGATGTTGGAGACTATGAATCTAGCTAAATTTTATGATTCTAGGTCAATCGGAAGAAGTAAGTTTCAATTTGCTTGTGAAATGTTCAAATAGATTTTATTCTAAGATTCAAACGACCGTATTCTTTACTGCGTTGAAAAGAAGCTCGACTTTTTACAGCTTTGTAGAAGTAATTGATAAGAATTTCGTCTTGATACCTCCAGGAGTTCGTAAGTGAAAAAAAAAACTACAAATAATATAAAATTTATCAACATGTTACACTAGGTATCTAATACTGCACAGTTTGCTACTTCAAAACCAACACCACATATTATTTTAACATCAATATCTGTTTAGAGCAGCACAGAGTGAGTTCGGAACACACGGAACTCAAGCACCTAGACGAGAGTCTGTTGCTAACAATTTATTTACTGAACAAAACTGTTCTATTGTAAATCTTTGCAGTTCTTTGCTTATTGTCTTAAGTCGGATTAATCAAATAAAGCTTGATTCTCGTTTAATAATGACTGAATGAGTAATAAAGTTCAAAACTGTACTCATCTATCTTTGTTTCGATCTACGTTACGTTAACGAGACTTACCAACTTTTTGAGCTTAGTTAGACCTTAAAATATAGTTCTGCTAAAACTAAACGCATTCCATTTGGTCATCTATACCATGTAGCACAAAATATCGATAAACTTAGACCCTAACAAGAAGACTAGATTGCAATTAATACTTTGAGTGTGTTTGAGTTTGGATACAAAAAAGTTAATACTGTTGCGCCATAGGATTCAATAGTTCGATTGTTCTAGAATTGTATGGAATGTGGAGGACAGTGCCATCTAGTATCACGTAAAGTACAACTATTGAGATTGTGATTAATAATTCTAATAATTAAAGCGCTAGATATCAGTGCAAGTACCCTGCGACTGATACCGGAATATTCATATTTGTACGAGACAGTATCCTTTTACGACACACCGAATGAACATCGAAGTGAATTTCTAGTGCGATTCACGATTTCTAGTTTGTTATAGTGAGTGTTCGTAAATATTGTGCAATAAACGTAATTAACCGACAACTTTTATTTACTGTATACCCCGCTCGTAACAATACGAATTTCTTCCTTTAAGTTGCCTGAAGATCATTTCAAATAGCAATAAAGCCCTTTGCATGGTATTTTTATAAAACATGCAATCTGTTACAACTACTTAGTAACAACACTGGTACACAAATAAAATATTATTTCTCCATCTACTTAGCTAGGATATGACAGCTTGGTTTTTAATACAAAAAGCACCAAAAATAAAGATTTTGTAATCAATTTTACTTAAGTAGCTCTGTCCAATAAGTATATAGTTTGTGTATTTAATATTTATAAGTATCATAGCAAAACTTTGAATGGCAATGGAATCTAACTGTGTCTTTTTGAAGGTCCGATACAGATACAGTAGTATAATGAAGTTAATCATCCAACATCATACCATCACTTACTTATTGGCCTCAAGTTCTTTAAAAGTGAGTTAGTGATGTCATTAAGACTATCATTCAAGTGGTTACTTTTTGTAAGTAGATAGTACATTAGCAGTACTTTGACCAAACGAAATCGAGTGTTACACTAACAACAGTGAATTGTCGTAGGTAATTCGTACTAATCTAAGTACATTAATAAAATCTATTTTTTTCCTCTCACTCGGTAACAGTAATTTGGCGAACAAAATATACTTTTTGGTTTGTTTTCTATATTCCTGATAACGTGGACACAAAATTTTGTAATGATTGTTGGGATAGTTAAAGTTTAGAAGTTAAACTCAAATGTATTTGTGATATTCAAATTAGGAATGTCACTAAATGAGTTGCATCTGACACTCGTGCTTAATTTTTCGTGACTGTTAACCGACTGCGATCATATTTAAGCAGTAGATTCATTGAACTAAAAGGATAGTTTATAATCATGCTTAGATAAACAAATATAAGGTAGTGGCAGCAGTCCAACACTACTCATGACTTGTATAATCGTCTTTAGTATGATGTTGGTATACCAACAGTTTATAGACATTGTAAAATTGACATGTAACATATGACTAATGATACATAAACCTATTTGAGTCAATTGTAAATCTGTAATCTTTTACTCTTTAATTAGATAATTAATTATCCGATTAAACCGGTAATCTGACTGATTGAATTATTATTGCTAATTATACGTCTGTAATTAATTGCATGTAATATTCGCATCAATTAATTAATTTCTGTATTGTATGGCAGTCGATATGTATTATCCGGACAAAAAAAAATCTTTTAAACAAGACGCACATATATCTGCAAGAAATATGAGAAAAGCACTTTTGATGATATTGTACTTTTGACGGGCCTGTTGGTCTAGCGGTACTGCTAAGCCGGAGGTCGGGTTTGATTCACACCCAGGACAAATTATTGTGTGATGAACATTAGGTATCGTTTGTTCTGATTCTGGGTGTAATATATCTACAATATGTATGTATTTTTGAAATATTAAAAAGACACTGATTGCCATGTATAAAATACGGTGGCCCATGCAGCTCTATGTATAGGTTATTATTTTTATTATTATTTACTGACATAAGCAGGCCGATGCGGGTGTGGTCCTAAAGACATAATCATACCGACCAGATCGAATGTGTACTAAAGAATAGTCTCGTTAATTAAAGCTTGATGAATGTATAATTATATTCCAGACATCTTACACACAACGTCATCTGGTTTCAAACTAAGCAGAGCTTGTACTATGAAAGCTAGATTGACTGATAAAATACTTTTATACGTTTTTTGTAAATACATGTATATTATATACAAACATTAGGTCCGACTCGGAAATCGAACCCAAAGTCTCAGCACAGCAGTCGCATACGCTACCATTGCACCCCCGAGGCAGTCCGATAAATGTGGAAGAGGCACGAATCGTAATGCGTTGTAAATGGCATTCCTTCGTCCCCGCCCACCCCGGACAGTAATAAGGCGTGAGTGTATGCACATTCGTGTAAGGCAAACATCGGGCGGCGACGTAAATAGACTATCAAATCTTTACACTACGTTCACACTCGAACGTGTGTCGTTGGTGAAGGTTCAAGAGATCCAAAGACTTTCTTTAAGTTACAACATATTTTGTCTGAGACACTGAAAATACTAAAAATAGAAAGCTTAAAAATGGAGACGTTCGTTTATACGCATCACATTCCCGTGATCGTATTGAATAATATAACATTTAATAAACTCTTGAAGAGTTTACTGCTTTGTATAATATTATAAATCGTTACTAAATTATTCTTTTTATATGTAGAAAGAGCGAGACGAACGGTGAAGCGATATGGTGAAATAAGCCGATAAAACCACACATTATAACTTGAGCAGGTAGTCCCCGAGAAATAATGTATTATAATTTATGAAGGGTTTTCAATGAACTGTAGATCACGTGTTTGTTTTGAAATATTACATAAATGAGCGTTCATTTTAACTTTATCAGGCGTAATATATCCAATGTAATAATTAATTCCGTTTAATGGAACTTATCAATATACAGTATCAATAATAAAAATTATCACCACAGGCAGTTCTTATGGTTTTACATATTTTGAGGGACAAGAACAGTAGTTTATGTATTATAATTTGGTATATACAATAATGTTTGTTTTTCTTTACAAAGGGTAAGTAGAATGAGTTAATAAACGTCAACATAACTTCAAACAACGATCAGCTTAATTAAAGGTACCGATATTAATTATGTATAAACATCATATTTACATAGCAACTTTACTGACTTATTAGTCCTGTGGTTAGCGATAATGATCGCTAATTTTGAAGGTGTTGGTTCGATTTCCATTTGAATTTGACAACCGAATGGCATAGTGGTTTGTGTAACGTGTTTCCTAAGATCGCGGGTTTGATTCCCGCTCAAGTCAAACATTTATGTTCATGAACACATTAAATATGTTTGATTTAGTCTGGGTGTTTCTATGTATAATATGGATGTATTTACAAAAAAAAGTATATATGTATTTATATCAGTTGTCTAGTACCCATAGTACAAGCTCTGCTTAGTTTGGGACTAGATGGCATTGTGTGAATGTGGTAGAAAAAAATATTTGTAAATTACTGTCTGATGAACATGATCATTTGTTCACTTTCTGGGCGTAATTTATCTCTAATAGATATGCATTTTTTTTTATGTTAGAGGTGGCAGATGAGCAGACGGGTCACCTGAATCGCCGCCCATGAACGTCATGCATTCAGTAATATATGAATATGATTATCAGCAGTCTGGTACCAGAGTGACCAGTATAGGATCAGACGTGTCACCTGAATCGCCGCCCATGAACGTCATGCATTCAGTAATATATGAATATGATTATCAGCAGTCTGGTACCAGAGTGACCAGTATAGGATCAGACGTGTCACCTGAATCGCCGCCCATGAACGTCATGCATTTAGTAATATATGAATATGATTATCAGCAGTCTGGTACCAGAGTGACCAGTATAGGATCAGACGTGTCACCTGAATCGCCGCCCATGAACGTCATGCATTTAGTAATATATGAATATGATTATCAGCAGTCTGGTACCAGAGTGACCAGTATAGGATCAGACGTGTCACCTGAATCGCCGCCCATGAACGTCATGCATTCAGTAATATATGAATATGATTATCAGCAGTCTGGTACCAGAGTGACCAGTATAGGATCAGACGTGTCACCTGAATCGCCGCCCATGAACGTCATGCATTTAGTGATATATGAATATGATTATCAGCAGTCTGGTACCAGAGTGACCAGTATAGGATCAGACGTGTCACCTGAATCGCCGCCCATGAACGTCATGCATTCAGTAATATATGAATATGATTATCAGCAGTCTGGTACCAGAGTGACCAGTATAGGATCAGACGTGTCACCTGAATCGCCGCCCATGAACGTCATGCATTTAGTAATATATGAATATGATTATCAGCAGTCTGGTACCAGAGTGACCAGTATAGGATCAGACGTGTCACCTGAATCGCCGCCCATGAACGTCATGCATTTAGTAATATATGAATATGATTATCAGGAGTCTGGTACCAGAGTGACCAGTATAGGATCAGACGTGTCACCTGAATCGCCGCCCATGAACGTCATGCATTCAGTAATATATGAATATGATTATCAGCAGTCTGGTACCAGAGTGACCAGTATAGGATCAGACGTGTCACCTGAATCGCCGCCCATGAACGTCATGCATTCAGTAATATATGAATATGATTATCAGCAGTCTGGTACCAGAGTGACCAGTATAGGATCAGACGTGTCACCTGAATCGCCGCCCATGAACGTCATGCATTTAGTAATATATGAATATGATTATCAGCAGTCTGGTACCAGAGTGACCAGTATAGGATCAGACGTGTCACCTGAATCGCCGCCCATGAACGTCATGCATTCAGTAATATATGAATATGATTATCAGCAGTCTGGTACCAGAGTGACCAGTATAGGATCAGACGTGTCACCTGAATCGCCGCCCATGAACGTCATGCATTTAGTAATATATGAATATGATTATCAGGAGTCTGGTACCAGAGTGACCAGTATAGGATCAGACGTGTCACCTGAATCGCCGCCCATGAACGTCATGCATTCAGTAATATATGAATATGATTATCAGCAGTCTGGTACCAGAGTGACCAGTATAGGATCAGACGTGTCACCTGAATCGCCGCCCATGAACGTCATGCATTTAGTAATATATGAATATGATTATCAGCAGTCTGGTACCAGAGTGACCAGTATAGGATCAGACGTGTCACCTGAATCGCCGCCCATGAACGTCATGCATTCAGTAATATATGAATATGATTATCAGCAGTCTGGTACCAGAGTGACCAGTATAGGATCAGACGTGTAACCTGAATCGCCGCCCATGAACGTCATGCATTTAGTAATATATGAATATGATTATCAGCAGTCTGGTACCAGAGTGACCAGTATAGGATCAGACGTGTCACCTGAATCGCCGCCCATGAACGTCATGCATTCAGTAATATATGAATATGATTATCAGCAGTCTGGTACCAGAGTGACCAGTATAGGATCAGACGTGTCCCGTGTGTTATATGTGTCAAATTATTAGTATGGTTATTATAATCATACTAAATGATCTACGTAATGTTGTTTGTGTCTCTCAAAAGGAATAAATTTTCCCCCGTTTTTGCAACATTTTGCATTGAATCTCGGCTCCTATTGGTCGTAGTGAGATGTTATTTAAAATATATCCTTTCACGATTAATTGGCTATGCAACAGTGTTTTTCAATTCCTCAGATACAGACAGAAATATATTCAGACTGCAGCAGATCACATTTCGTTCCGTCTCCATATATAACTGCACTATTTTATTTACATTCTAGGAATCCTTTGTCCGAAAATACTTCGAAAACTACACACAAACGGAATACATTCCAAACCCAATTCAAAGTAAGATTCAAGAATAGATTGAAACTACCAACTTTCCGTCTAAACATGCACTCTGCAACCCCCAGTGATGTCCATAAAAATATAGAACAATCGATAAGAAATGTAAAAGAGTATTTTTAAATAAATGAATTAAAGTTGCTCTTATAATACAAAAGTTATTTCGTCATGAAAAAGGCACATAGGTGAAAAACTATAGGTACCTAACAATTATACTATCAAAAAGTAAGTAAAAAACTATTGCAATAATACTAAACAGATGTTATGTATTATAATATCTTATCATTGTTGCAATTTAAATGTAGCAAAACCTTAAAATTCTTGTCAATAAACTCTACGGTAACTACTAAAAAACTTGCAAAAGTATCTGGAAATATTTGCAGTAGTGCAGAAATAAATATCATTTCATTTCATTGCATTTCACGTAATATGATTCGATTTTATTTAGAAACGTCAAGGTATATAGTGTTATCACCAGATAACACAATATTTTCAGAAAAGATTTTTGGAAGTGTAAGCAATTGTTTAAGAAGGGTCGGCTCGCATAATTATGTCTAACTCATACTATTGACGAGAAGCGGGAAGGGAACTATTTATTTTAAATGTAACATTCTACATAAACATTTATATTGCTGAGCAAAGAAGAAGCATCACACTAAATATTATTAAGACAAAGTAAATTTCCAAAGGCCTTGGAAGAAAGCCTCTGCATTGAAACGCGACATTATTTATCCTTATTACTTTAAAAGGTTTTCAGCTTTTTACCAATCTCTTCACACCATACATAGGAACACGTACGTTCTATGTTATCGACATTATATCTTGTAATCTTGTGTTATTTCAATCAATAATTTATTTAAGAATTACTACTGATTCAGAAAAAATATTACTAATTGGACATCATCATTTTCAAACATATATTTCATTACTACAAATCTACACGCATTACTTGAAATATAAAGCTCGTGCAGCTAATAGCTTCATATATTTTTGTGTTAACTAATAGGCTTCATTACATTATACTTTTATATTTTACACACAGCCAAATAAATGTGAAATACGTGTTGTCAACGCCAGGTGCGTTGTTTTCCAGAACAAATCACCTTTGAAGTAAATGTATTGTAATGTAATCTATAAAAATAAAATACAACTACCCACTACCACACTCCTACTCCTTCCTCCTTCACCTATTGATGGACTAGACTTTAACGTAATATAGATCCCACGATCACAGTGTCTTTTACATTACACTCACACAGACGACAGAAATGTTTTCCCTCAATGACCTGACAATGTATACAGTTAAATTATTTTTCAAATATGAAATGTATAATTAAACAAAATTACTCACCAAGTATCGCATATTAAAAGTTAACGCTTTAAATTTGAAATGAAATATAGTTTGTGTGAGAAGTATCGCACTTATTACGACAATTTTACTTAAAGAGAAACGTGTACGATTTCAGTTATTTACTTTCAGATAATTTCCATTTCGGTCCGTTGTTTAACTTTACTGTAAAGTAGATATATTTATATTATATTCATTTATTTCAATCAGATAGTACAATCCATTAGTGTTAGTAATTCGTTATGCCAAGTTAGTTATTTAATATGATGTCCAAGGATTTAAATATTGTACCAAATTAATTAGTTTCATATTTTTCATTAAATTTGTTATTATTTCTTATACTAGTATCTGTATTTGCCAACACATAATGTACATTATTCCAGGACAGTCCAGATTCTACAAAAGTGTATTTAGAAGAGTGCTGGAGCTCTGCTGTACACGCCGCATCAGTAAAGCTACTCTTTTGCAAATAATTGTGTAAAAGCAATCAACATTATCCTCCGCAAACATTCCTGATGCACTGCATACCTCACCCCATATTTTGCAGAACCTCGGTAACCCCATCAGCATCCTGAAACTTTTATTGTACTTAAGACCTTAAATGCTCTACGCATGAGCATTTAAGGTCTTTTTAATGTAATTAGTCCAAAGGCTGCTGGTATAAAGTGTTTTACAGTAAGCTTGAAATAGTATTAACTTAACTTCCTTAGAACATCCAGCAAAACCTCTAATTACCATTTTACACCTAACCGACAAGGCTCTACGCTCCTGCTCAATATAATCATCGTCCGATAGGTCTTCCGTCACCCAATGGCCCATGTACTTAATCTTCGTGACTCTCTTAAGCGGTAAATCTCCTATTTTGACCGGTAACACTAACAACTAGTAAAACACTACGGTAAAAACTATAATATAATATAATCTATACGATACAATATGGTAAGCTTAATAATATCAATAATAATAAACTCACATATCTCACGACCGTTTGATTAGAAACTAGGTAGTGCCTGTAATGTTGTAACAGATGTACACAGAGATACAGAACAAATGATCGTGTTAATCACACAATATTTGTCCTCGGTGGGAATTAAACTCCCGACCTGTGGCAGTCAGGTTCACTATCCACTAGACCAACAGGCCCGTCAAGTCTCCGCTGAAATCTATTATATTCTCGAGACGAGAAACATTAACGTCAAGCAGATAACTGAAGAAAATAAAAATTAGTCAAAACCTTCTGCATTGTCAAATATTGCACCTACAAGAAAACAATTTGAAACGATGTCTTTTAATATTTATAGTCACAAATTAACACAGAATAAAAATGTGAAACAACAAAAGCGAAAAAATTATGCTATTTTTAACTAAATTGGAGATTTAGAATAATCTTACTTAGATTACAGATAGAGAAGAATAAAATATGCACAAATAAAGACTTTTCGCAGAGCATTAAAATAAGTTAGTTTTTAAATAATAATTTGTTTGAAACATTCAACTTAAAGCTCAGTTGAAATATCACAACTCTAGCTATTGTCCTGCAGTATTCATTATAAAGTATTATATTTCTTTAATTACTATTTTAATCACGAATATCTTATTTTATAAGACTTAAAATTGTAATTGAGGAGTGTTGTTACGATGTAATTCACATACTTAAATCATTTAAAAATAATATTTGTTTTGCGAACGTTTAGGCTCTGAAGGTCAAACAGACAAGCATTTAAGACAACAAGCATTGCACATGTTTCTCTTCTATTGTGCTAAATACTATTGAGTATATTATTTTTAATAATAGTGCAACTACTTTTATCGGTAGTTAAAGATTTATGAATTTTTAATATTAAGTATTTCGGATTCAATACAGATAAATCAGTCAATCGTCCGTGTGGTGACAGATTAAGAATACAGAGTGTCAACACCCGTTTTCATCCCGTGGATGTCGTATGAGCCGACTAAGAGAGCAAACTACGCAAGGACAATAGCACTGCAAAGAGAAGAAAACTTTGAAACAGACTCTATACCAACCTGTCTGGCCAGCGTGGTCTAATAGCCCAAAATCTCCATTCTAAGGAGAGGCTTATGTCGAATAGTGGACTAATAGAGGCTGTTGATGATTATAATGATGACATATTTGTTGTAAACCAAAATTACAGCAACTACAGGCAACTACGGAATAAAAAGTAAATACAAAATCGATTTCCGTGATCCGAATTTAATTATGCATACTGTTCCATAAATTCATTTTCCAAGTAATGTCAATTGTTACTACTAAACTAAAAGCCACAAGTGAAAGTTTTTTTTTATATTCTAAAGGATACGATAAACAGAGCCTTTAAGGAAGTGGGCAATCAACAGAGATTAAGATGCCTTCGATAAGATTGACGTGATTCTTTGCGAAGATGTTCGTGAAACTTGCAGATCTTTTAATTGTCCTTCACTTATTAGTCTTACATTACCTAATTGTACCTTAAGCTGTAAGTTTTCCTAAAATATTAGAAAAAAACTATCCAGACCTTAGTAATACTTATAATAATAATAAATACGAATTGTAATGAGCTAGAATCAAACTCATGAAGTCTACCGGGATGACTCAGGAGACTACCGCCGCACCACAGAAACTTTAATTGTTTCGTCTAAATATAGTAGAAAAGCACCACTAAATATAAAACTATATCTTTACCTTTTTCTATTAACCCTTGTAGAAGGATTTTCTCATGATGTATACGCAGAGGCTCGCTCTACCTATAGGTCGTATGTCACCAGTTCAGCGGCAAAGAAAATTTATTCCGTCACAAACACACTCCAGCCTGTGACACTGTGAATCCTGTTAACTGAACTTAATGACTGGCCATTCGGTTCATTAATCTGTCCCTTTTATGGCCCGCCTTTTTGTAGGACATTCGTTATTTACCCTCTTTCAGCTGTTCAAGAATGCTTTGAATAAGTAAATTATGAGGGCAGGAAATCTTTTTTTTGGTGGTATAAATTTTATTGAGATTTTTCCGCCTTTTGCTCTCATACCAATGAGCTGTCACTCATATTAGCTGTATGTAAGACTTTATCCTTTATATTATATTATAAATTATAA